GATTAATTACAGGTGACGCAGCACATTGTTTCTGTTATTGCGACCAAACGAGATGGAATTCGGAGATGAGGATGGATCCATTGGAAAAAAGGACTCCGAGAGCTTTCCATCAAGTACTTACGGGCCAAAAATGAAATTCGTATATATATTTGGCAGCCATTTGAATTCAACAATATATCAGGTGACTGAATCGAATTAAAGCACTTTAAGGACTTGATCTTGATGTCTTAACTTTAGTTTTTTTTTTCCTAATCTTTAGTTTTTTTTCCTAAATTAAATGATTGATAAAACTATAGGTAATAAATATAAAGTTATACTCGGTTTTAGTTCAAGTCCATCATATCAATAGTAGCTTTTACGCGATTTAATAATTCAAAGAATAATAATTTTGAAATCAAAAGTTAATAATGAGCAAGTCAAACCAACTTAATAATCCTTAATGTATCACATCTGGTGGAGTACGTCGTAATTTCTCTGTCCCAAAAAAAAAATCAATCTAAGGTCAGATATGATACATTCTAGTCCTACGAATATATCAAAACATATCTTTGTCCAGATTAATAGTATTAGGATATGTCATATCTGATACTAGATTGATTAAGGGAGTAATATGTCACATCCAACATATGAATTTGGTCAAATTAAGGGACTAACATGTACTTCCTCCGTTTCATAATATAAGACTTTCTAGCATTGCTTACATTCATATAGATGTTAATGAATCTAAACACTATATATGTCTAGATTTATTAATATCTATTGTATATCAATATGGATAATGCTAGAAAGTCTTATATTATGAAACAGAGGGAATAGCTTATTAAATATGAAATTTGGGCATATGCATGCAAGTAGTTCCAACAAAACAACGGGCGTGCATACGCATACATCATATATATACTCCCTCCTTTTTCTAAATGTTTGACGTCGTTGACTTTTTTAAACATGTTTGACCATTCGTCCTATTTAAAAACTTTTGTGAAATATGAAAAACTATATGTATACATAAAAGTATATTTAACAATGAATCAAATGATAGAAAAAGAATTAATAATTACTTAAATTTTTTGAATAAGACGAACGGTTAAACATGTTTAAAAAAGTTACATTTAGGATGGAGAGAGTATAAGGCCATGTTTAGTTCTCAAAAAGTTTTTTTCCAAAAACATCATATCGAATCTTTGGATACATGCATGGAGCATTAAATGTAGATTAAAAGAAAAAAAAATAATTGCACAGTTAGGGAGAAAATCGCGAGACGAATCTTTTGAGCCTAATTAGTCCATGATTAGCCATAAGTGCTACAGTAACCGACATGTGCTAATGGCGGATTAATTAGGCTCAAAAGATTCGTCTCGCGGTTTCCAGGTGAGTTATAAAATTAGTTTTTTCATTCGCGTCCAAAAACATCTTTCGATATTCGGTTAAACGTTCGATATGACACCTAAAAATTTTCATTTCGCGAACTAAACGTGCCCTAGATCTGCAGGTAGGGATCAAGTTAAAGTGAGGAGACACTCAGAACTGGGCGTCCGTAGGCCAGCCGGGCCTATAGGTGGCCGGGACCGGGCCGGCGGCTGGGCCACCGTTGCTTCCGGCTAGTACAGACTAACAGTACGTTGGTCGTCGATCGGTCGTCACTGGACAGATCCCGGCCGCCGCCGGCGCGATTCCCGAGAAAAGCTAACGACGATCGACGAGACAACAACAACTCCACGGCATCGGCATGCATAAAGCCGGCCGGCCGCCTGCTGCAACACTTGTATAAGCGAAGGCTGCAAACTGCAAAAGGTAAATCGGCCGGATTTGATCAAAGCTTTGGTACTCCAGTACTGTATAGTAGTACGTACGTGGAATTTCAGTGGATTCTGTCTATCTTTTCTTTGCATGCGATTCGGGATCCCGAGGTAGACAGTGACGCCTCCTCACCATCACCTTATATTAGGCCTGCCTGCCTGCCTGCATCGAGTGTGGACACGCCGGCCCGTTTCGTCGTTACGCCACGCCGCATATAGGAGTATGTATGTAACGCACAGTAGATATGGAATTGAAGTTTCCATTTGTTGACTGCACGTTTTGTCCAGTGATTTCGATTCGGGCTCAATTCTGTTAAACATGGAAGATAGCCCTTGCGTACATGCGCGGGCAGCCAGGCCAGCACCCGCGTTTCCTCTCTGCTTCAACCCTCAAGCAGTTCGTCGTCGCCACATGAAATCAGAGCTATTCACTCGCTCAATCTCACAGAAACACAAGCCCGCGCGCACAAGGACTCGGAACACAGAGAGTTTGCAAGTGTGTCACTCTTTTTCTGTTTATTTTTCACACTGAGGGCCTTGTTTAGGTCTCCCAAAAACATCACATCGAGTCTTTAAACACATACATAAAACATTAAATATAGATAAAATGAAAAACTAATTACACATTTTGTATGAAAATGGCGAGACGAATCTTTTAAGTCTAATTAGTCTATGATTAGCCGTAAGTGCTATAGCAACTCACATGCGTCAATGACAGATTCATTAGGCTTAATAAATTCGTCTCGCGGTTTTCAGGTGATTATGAAATTAGTTTGTTTATTCATATTCGAAAACCCCTTACGATATCCGGTCAAACGTTCGATGTGGCACCTAAAAATTTTCTTTTCACGAACTAAACAATACCCGAAACTGATTACATAGATTGTTTAGCTACTTCTAACCAAGGAACAAGGAGAATCAATCGAACAAAATAGATACGAGAACACGAATGCTTTGTAATTAACCTCGATACGACAGGATCAGGCCGCCGCTGCCATCGCCGTGCCAGCTGTCGTAGCACGCCAAACTCTCACGCCACCACGCGGGGTGGACTTTTTTCATTTAGCCCATTCCGGCCCAACAACACGCACACTGGGGGGACGTCTGCTGCGACGCCCACGGCCCATGTCCGCCTCCTGCTCTGATGCTTTCTGTATCGCGTCATCAGCCTTGTTGCCCCCTTCCATTTCTTCAGTTTCCTCAGGTTGTTCTTCAGACTTCCCTGGTGATGCTTGATTCATCCGCCGCCCCGGCCTGACATAGATAACATGCAAACTCACCCATATCCAACAGAAAAATTCCTGGTCAATCTTCGATGCATGCACCCATGCAAACTCCGATGGCTTCCTGCTCCTAGACGGCAACAGGATCAGCCACTACTCACTGCCAATCTCTCTACTCACTAAGGAGGTGTTTAGATTACACCATGTGTTTGAACACCTGTATAAAGTATTAAATATAGGCTAAAAAAATAAAAGAAAATTCGATCCATAGCACAGAAAATAACCCAATACCAAAAATAGCACAAGTTTTCACCTATTTTTCTTCGATCTGTAACACTTCCGTCCCAATTTGATTAAACGACGTTAGATTAGAGGAGATAAAATTATTGTCGGACTAATTTACTCTTCTTTTTGGGTGGCGCTGCCAGCGCCGTGCGTTCAAGGCAAAGGCCGCCGCCGTCGGCCGCGCACGCTACCCCAACGTCACCCATCTCTGCGCCTATTACCACGAGCCCGACGAGAAGCTTCTCCCCTACTATTGTCTTCGACGACAAGCTCTGGCTTCGGCCTCGCCTGTCTCGTCGCCGACGCTCACAAGAGTACAAGACGACTGACGCAGTCGAATAAGCTCAGCAGTGTGGCGCGCTCGCTGCGTAGCGAGGGCGAGGCTCTATCGGTGGCTCGGCGCTGGCGTACGTCGCATTGGAGTGGCCGTGGCGACTCAAAAGGGTGATGTGTTCGCGCTCGGGATCATGCTGCTGGAGGCGGTGACCGTGGCGCGGGTTGACGAGGAGAGGGGCAGTGTTGAGAGCTGGAGGTGTAGGCACGACACGTCTTCAAGGAGGAGCGGCTGTCGTCAGAGGTCGTCGACCTGACACTGCCCAGTGAGGTGCTCACCATGTTCCACTTCCATGCCGACCTCGATTGCACCAATCGAGCTCGACGCCGACCTGCGCCCCTGCAATGCGCGCCGTCGCCGAGAGCCTCGACTGGATTGGCTGCTAATCCGGCCATTTCTCCATCCGTTGAGCAATTCTTTCATCCTAATCGAGCTCAAACACTATAAGCTAGCTAAAGCTTTATCATTTGCAGTAACCACCATTAGCTTACAAGAACTTCAATCATGCTGATTTCTAGTCGCCAATGCATGGTAGAGATAGCAAAAAAAAGCAAAAATCCTAAGAATTATTCACTAATTTGTTCCGGTACTCAGTAATAGTGACAAATAGCTACAGTCTCCCCTCCATCAGCCACCGTCGTCAACCAAGCAGCCGTGACTCGCAGCCGCCGTCGTTGCCCTTTTCCGCAGCATGCGACACCTCGGAAACAACCACCGTCATTACCATTTCTTTTGGAGAACACCTTGCAAAAACGACCGAACTAACAAAAGGAGCAGGCACAATCTAACACTAACAGTCCCATATGCCACAGGGATAGAACCCGGGGCAAATTGGTATTTGCATGTGTCAACTCACGGCTAAACATTCGACCATAACTACTACCACGACGGAAGTGCTACGAATCGAGAAAAAAAGGATGTCCGATGCTTCTAGTCGAAAGCGGGAAATTTTTGTGCTATTTTTTGGTACCGGGTTGTTTTCTGTGCTATGTATCGAATTTTCTCAAAAAATAACTAATTGCGCAGATTGCGACTAATTTGCGAGATGAAGCTTTTAAGCCTAATTGTTCCATGATTTGACAATGTGGTGCTACAGTAAATATTTGCTAATGACAGATTAATTATGCTTAATAAATTCGTTTCACGGTTTACTGACGGATTCTGTAATTAGTTTTTTTATTAGTGCCCGAACACCCTATATAATATTCGATGTGACACGCCAAAATTTTACATCCTGGATCTAAACACCCCCTAAGCCATGCAGCACAACCACTAAGCTAGCACTTACACCATGCAACACACAACACACGTACACGTGACTTCTACTCAGATACTACCATATGACGCTACGAATAAACATGCTGAAATTAAAACAACAAGATTATATACTTCTAATAGCAAGAAGCCACGGAGAATCATCGTTGCCCCGTCCCATCCCTTCTGACGCCTTTGCTGCGGTTGATCACTCCCGTTTCCATCCCCTCCGCTCCAGTGGCGGAACTAGGATCTTCGGACGCGTAGGGCCCAAAATAAAGGCTAAAACTTGACAAATGTGCAGCAAAGTATAATACAGGTTGGACAAAAAAAATACAAGAGTGTTCGATTGGTGTGCGAAGCCCGGGATCAACAACAACCACATTTGGTTCAAGCACAATACGATCTTGCTCATTGTTACTAGCCATGGTTTCTGCTGAATTAGGCATTGGGATGGAGTCATTGGTTTCTTCTGTTTCTTGAGTTGCCGGGGTGGATTCATTTGAGGACTGAACTTGAATGAATAATTTTATTGTCCTACTTCTCTTCATCTAAGAATTCAAACCAAATCTAATAATGTGATGTACTAAAGCTAGGTTTGAGATTTGAGAAGTGAGAAAGGAAGAAGAAAGAGAACAAAAAATTGCTGACCTTTCACAGTTCCACTCCCACTGTCCCGCACGACCGCAAGCGGCAAGCCGACTAGCCGACGCGACGCCGCACGCCCGCACGCCATTCGCCGCCGCCGCTGCACGCCGCCTCGCCGGCCGCTGCCGCCGCCGCCTCGCGCCTCGCGCAGCCGCGCCCCCGCCGCCGCACGCCGCCTCGCGCCTTGCAGGGAGTGAGGAAGAGTTGGAGAGAGAGAGAGAGAGAGACCTAGGGCCTTCAGTGGCTAGGGTTTTCACTGCTTAGTGGGCTAATGGGCTTTGGCATTTTGCTATTTCGTGGGCCTTTTTTGGAAGGCCGAGTGTAGGGCCGGCCTGCATACGAGTGGGGCTGGGCTAAGAATGTATGGAAAAATTACAAGGTATAGGTACTAAAATTTTTTTTCACGAGTAGGGCCTGGGCCCAAGTTGCCCTAGGCCCAGTTACGCCCCTGCTCCGCTCTGTCGCCGCCACGTGAAGAGGATGTGGCCGTTGACGTCGCAGGAAACCATGGAGACTCACCGCCCTCCCCGTCCAATCCTATCCGCTTCGCCTCCTCTGCCGCGGTCCAGCTCCCCGGTTTCCATCCCCTTTACTCCATCACCGCTGCTTCTTTCTATGACGACTGTGGCGCGAAGACAGCAGATGCAAAGAAGGGAGGAGATGCCCCCCTTGCCCTCCCCCCTCACATCCCTCTCCGCCCTCCCCGTCTTGTTGCGCTTGCCGGTGGAGAGAGAAGAGAGCGACGGTAAAGAGGAGGAGTACAATAAGTCACCGGCCTCCCTGTCTCCTCCCTCTCCGCCCCGCCCCTGTTCGTCGGCCTCCGTCGATTCGGCTTCTGCCATGCCTCCGTCGATTCCGCCTCCGCTCTCGCTCAGTGGTGTGCCAGCGCCCGTGCTAGCCGCATCTGGGGAAGAAGGGGAAGAGATAGAGAATAGAGATGATTAGGTGGAGTGTTGTGTCACGATCCCACATGAATCCCACTGATGAACACAAGCACAAGAGCAATATATCCACTCCAACTCTGTATATCAAGTTCAGGGATACAAATTGGAAGAACTAGCAGCAGAGATTGGGAAGAGAAGCAAGGGTAAAGGGTATCAGAGAAACACAGAGTAGGGATTCGAGGAGAAATCAAGAGGAGGAAGAAGAGGCCGTAGCCATCAGGTTCTAATTCATCGTTCTCTTCTCTCACTGCCACTGTTGGTATTTGTACTGCTTGGTTGCTTGCTCCTTCAGTATGTGAGCTGGGCCAAGCCCATTCCTCCTGCAGCCCATGCAGCCCACCAGATACATGACAAAGTATTTGAAGTTTCATAACCAGTCAACCCTCGTACTCGTAGACCAATATCGACAAAGGATTTTAGAGAAGGGGTCAAGAGATGTTTCGAAGTCCAGTTCTTGGAACGATCTGGCTTGTTCTCGAGGACGATGAGAACCGGGTCAAGCTCTTCTAGTTCAAGATAGAACCACTTTGACCTCCAACCGCTCCGAGAAGAAGGACACTGGAAAGGAATGTATTTGGCTTTCATGCCATCACGGAGGTGGAATCCACAGCATCCAGAGATTCTATTGGATTCCATCCACCGGAGTTTATAATAATAACGGAAGAGGTCAAGGAAGGGCACTACCCCAATGTAGGCCTCACGGAGATGAAAAAAAAATGTTCAGAAAGGCGATAGAATTGGGGTTGAGATGCAAGGAGAGACCATAAAAATTCAAGATGACCAAAAGGAATTTAGAAGGTGGAGGCAAAAACCCGCAGCAGACAAAGTCCTCTACTACTACCATACGGCGTAAAGCAGGAGCAGGTTTAATACCTCCTTCCTCCTGCTCCATGGTCTCCTGGCTGGGAAGGGCCCCATCCGCACGAAGCTTCTTCAATGTAGCTTCATCGGAGGATGATTTGCCAAGATCCATCGCCGATGAGGGATCGCTGGAGGGAGACAAAGGAAGTTAGGGTTTCTTGAGACGGAAGGGTCGAGAGTTGAAAAGACTTTTTTTGGCAAACGGACCTGAAATGAATCTCAAAATCCCCTTATATAAGCGCACTACCAGATGGTTCACATTTCAAGGAAAGGAGAGACATTGCCGCCGAAAATTTCTGAGGTCCGTTGTGGGCGGTAGTTTAGACTTCAATTTAAATTCACTCATGGACCATTGAACTCCGTTTAGCGTTGTCGCTAGCTCCGTGTCTCTACGGTCTTACACCGGGATCGACCAACCGAGTTTGACAAAGTGCTAGCAAGTGAAGTCGTGGATGACAACATGAGTTCATTTAAGCTAAAGTCGGGGGCTACTGTTATGGTTACAGATAAGGCATACCTTCTATCCTTGAACTTATGGAAATACAAGAATAGGATATATCTTTGTGTATACTGGCTGTTTCCATATGCTCTAAGGAAATTCACCAGATGTTATGGAAAATATCTTCATGAGACAAAGGACAAACAAAGTCCTACTCGGAGGGGAGAGGTGTTAACGACCAAATTTGGTAAATCATGAATCGGAGATAGAGATAACAAACCGAAGCGGATTTGAAGGGATTCGGTTAAACGCGGAAACAGAGCGCGCATCAGCTGGGGTCCGAATCGGCTAAGGTGTGTGTCAGCAGGGTTCGAATCGGACAAGGTAGCCGATGAAGCCGATTCTGACAGGATAGCACTGGAGTCATTGTCGGATCGGATTGATATGCTTCATGAGGATTGCTAAGCACAGATTGAGTCCGAAGAAGGCAAATGTATCTATTAATTATGATATTTTATGTAATTTCCTTATAGTTTGGGTCGGTAAGAGTCCGCCTTAGGGACTTGTCCGTATCTTGAGTTGTAATAGAACTAAAAGTCTTGTCCAACAAGGACATATTGTGTACTTTGGGTATAAAAGTAGCTCAAACTCATGTAATCAATTAACAATCAGTTCAATAACACTTTCAGCGCATCGCCACCCTTTCTATTTTCGTTTGTTTCAATGAGTTCTTGCTTTCGAGTTGGGCTGCATCGGTTTCGATATCCGACAAGAGGTAAAACTTGTTATGGTGGCTTGCGTTCTCGGGATTAGTGCTTCCATCTTTATGACACTCTAATCTTGTTTATGTAATTCGTCGAGTTATCATATATGCTATATAATCTAGATCAATATTGCTATCTAACCTCAAATCAGTTAGCATATGTTATTGGATTCCAGCCGATAGGGTTAGATATCAATGTTGACTTAGATTATATAGTGTATCCACCATCTCGAAAGGCTTTCATCGACTTATTTGTAGGATCGAATTACAAGAACTAAGCCAACCAGAGGGGGGGTGAATGGTTGGTATACCCAAAAACCAAAAACTTTTAGCGGAAATAAAAGTTACCCTCGAAGTCGATGTATTACGGTCTGACTGAAGGTGTTGAGCCGGTCTGACCGCCTGATGTACGTCGGTCTGACCGATGTAGATTGATCGGTCGAACCGCCGAGATCGCCTGCTGCCAACTGAAGCCGCCGCCGGTCTGACCGCCCTGACGCCGCCGGTCTGACCGCCGCCTTGTCGCCGGTCTGACCGCCGCTGAGATGTCGGTTAGACCGCCGAAACCCGGTGAAGCACAAATCGAAGAACTCTCAAAGTAGATGACAACTTTATTGCTTCTCTCTATCTTTACAAAGTGAACCAACTACACTCCTTACAAAAATCTCGACTAAACTCAAAACCCTAACTAAACTAGCTCTCAAAAGCTATACAAAAGCGATACCGGGAAGACTCACGCTCCCCCTCTATTTATACATGAGGTAGGTAGCCTAAAGCCACGAACCAAACTCATACTAAGAGTCCTAAACACCTTAGGAAACTCTCTAGTACAAGAAGCAAACTTTACATAACCAATCATACCAAATTTGTACTCCTTCCAAATTCGACTCCGCATCACATACGCACACAATACCTCCATCGTAGGCCATATGGAATCTCTATCAACCATGTGCATCAACTCTAGCCTTAGTATCCCGCATGATATCTGACCACCACGGACATCGTCTTACCACCAAGCCGACTCCCGGTCCATCACCGCAAATACTCTCCCGAGGCATCGAGTCACCTACACATGAAACAAACAAAGAAACCATATTCCGAGACCAATCTATCTCCAACTTGACTCATTAGTAGCAAACAACAGTATTACATACGTATAGTATCCATCTAGAAGCCATAACCATGAAACAATCACGGATATCTAAAGAAACAACCCGAAACCGAAACCGACACAGCGTCGGCCGGTCAGACAGCGGGCCGGCCGGTCTGACCGCTACACATGAGCCAGTCTGACCGGCAACCACCGCCCGGTCTTACCGGTCCCGACAAAACAGCAAACCCTGTTCATCACTTGAAAATTGATTATCTACAAAACCACTTCGACGATAATCTCCAAATATCAAAACCGATAATCACAGACGCCAATTGTTCATCACAGAATAAGAATCAAAACACACGTTGATCTTACAATCTCCCCCTTGATGAACACATTGGCAAACCCATTAAAAATGTTTTGGAGTTTGGAAAATTGAAAACAAAAGCGGTAAAAAGCACACTTCGTACAAACGTACACATCGTGCTCAAAAATCCAAGAGAAAACTTCTCCCCCTTTTTAAAAGAAAGAAATTCCCAATTGAACCAAAAACATGCTCTTCTCAAAAACTCTTCTCTGCTCCCAAAACTCATCTCTTCTCCCCAAAACTTATCTCTTCTCCCCCTTTTGACAATGATTTCATCAAGCATAGGAATTATGTTTATTAATGTATAAGAGCTTAACATACATATAGCATATCATGTCATGTGTTGCAATAAAAAGAAGATGAACCCATCTATAAAATAACAAGCATGCATTAAAGTATAACCATGAACCAAAGAATTTACAATTAAGCTTGAATCAACAGTCAAAATTCATGATTTCATACTATTTATATCTTAACAAGCACATAGGTTGAAGAATAAACACTAAACACATATACCTATTGCATTTATCATTCTTTTTCAAATAACCTTTAGCACAAAATAACAAAGAGAATTTTTAACTTTTTCTTTTCTTGAGCCTTTTTGCTCATATTTTTCTCTTTTTTATATTCCGGGTACGTCCCTGTCGTCAAGACTATTTGCAGGGATTCGGCACCCATTATTTTGCTCACATCGAATACGTCCTTGTCGTCAAGACTGTTTCCAAGGATTCGGTATTCATTTTTTTCATATTTTTATTCTCTTTTCACAATGAGCAATTAAAACTATTTGAGGAATAACAAGTCAATAAAGCATATATATAGAGCATTTATAAATCAAACCATATGCTAGCATCAACATTGCATATTTGCTTAATTCAAGTATAGAAATTAAGTGTCATGCATCATCTCCCTTAAAAGCAAAATCTAAATCTCATGAAAAGACTAGAATACATACAAGTTATGTTAGAGACAAATAAACCTTCAAAATATTGCTAGCATGCACAAGAAAATACTATATGTATAAACAAAGCTCTCTTTTATCAATTCTTTCATTGGCATATTTTTGCTTGATAAAACCATGAGGTACAAACTCCCCCTAAAATCATGCCAAAAGAAAGTAAAAAAAAACACTAACTCCCCTTCAAAATAACCTCCAATTCTCCCCGAACAAAAATCAAGAAGAAATCAAAGATTTTGAAAAAGACGTCCAATTGCCAACGATATCACCAAAATTCTCAAGAATTGACATACATCCAATAGTATTAACCAAAACTACAACCTCAAATACTAGCATATGAAAAAGCTAATAAACAAGAGATTAGACCAAAATTATGTCAATCCAAAAGTAAAGTGATGTTACCTTACTATGCAATCGTCATCTCAACGTTAAACGCATATGGGGAGTATGCCGCCAAAATACCTACTAACGAGAAGATGTCGAGGCCTCCCTGTTGGGGTTAGAAATAAGAAATTTTGGAATCCAACACTGAGTCACACGACCAGTAGAACCAGTAGGTACATATGCACTAATAAAATCAGAATCAGACTTACCAGAAAACTTACCTTTTTGCTTCACAAAAGTCCGATTTGAATTTCGCACAAAATTGCCCCGAGGCCGGTCTGACCGCCGCTGTGTCTGCGGTCTGATCGAGCCTGGCAACCGGTCTGACCGCCGGTTCAACCGCGGTCTGACCGCTGGCCGGTCTGACCAACTGGTCAGTGTCGGTCTGACCGTGGTCCTCGAATTAAAACCCGATTTTTGCCAACGTCGTTTTGCAAAAGCAATTTCTCTTTCCTTTTTCTGTTTATGGGCAAGTCTAAAACAAAAACCAACCAAATGTCCATCTTTTCTACAAAAAGAAGAAGTGTACTTTTCACGACAAGTTTGTGAAGTAGATTGTTTTGAAATTGATGGTTTTGCAACAACAGAAGGTTTTACATTCACAACATTTGATTTCGAAGAAGATGCACTTAAAGAAGACATGATGCCAGCAGATTTAAACACAGTGTTCTTAGGCTCAGATTCAATCAAAATTTCACCTCTCCTAGCAACACCCAAAACAGTAGGAGGATGTCTAGAATTATGAGCATAAGGATCAAAACCTAAACCACGATTGTGTGTGCTAACCTTAGATTGATCAAGAATCATGTTGAGGTTCTTTTTACCATCAGAAAATCTTTGCAAAGAACTTTTCAAATAAGAAACCTCCTGAGTAAGAATAGCACAATTTTTGCAAGCATCCAAAAGACCTTTTTGTTTTCTACAAGTTGAGCAAGAAAACACCTCATCTTGTTTAACAATTTCTTCCATGTGTTTAACACGCTCTAAAGCATCTTTCAACTTCAACTCATTCAAAACACACTTTGAACAATCTTGAGAAATCAAAACACCATTGTTTTGTTTTGCCTTATTTGCGCATGAAGCATTGACCAAAGAACTTGCACAAAAAGCAACTTTGTATTTTTTTTCAAAATATTCTTCGTCAAAATCAACTCATCAACAACACGAGCATGTAAAGCAAATCCAAGAGTAAAAGAAGATTCCAACTTTTTAGATTTTTCAATCTCAAATTCCAATTTTTTGCAATTAACAGAATTGACATCTCGCAAAGCATTAATTTCAGAAAATAAAACTTCACAAGATTGACAATTATCATCATTAGGAATCGAAGATTTTAATCTATCAATTTCAGCATTTAGAATATCAATAGTGTGATCCTTCTCATCAAGCACAATAGAACTTGTTTGAAGTTTCTTAGCAAATTTGTAAGCAGCAAGTTCTAATTGATCATAACTAAGCTTTTCTTCATTATCATCATCAGATTCATCAACATCAGAACTAGCATTACGAGCAATAAAAGCTAGATCAACAACTTGCTTACCTTTGTCCTCATCTTCATCTTTAGATCCATCAAAAACTTTTATGAGTTCTTAAATTAACCACTGCATGCAATGCTTCTTCTTCTCCTTCTCCTTCATGTTCTTCTTCTTGTTCACGTCATCATCTTTGACTCTCCCATCATCTTCCTTCTTGCCTCTCCCAAGCTTCGGACAATGCGAGCGAAGATGATCAAGTGCTCCACACTCAAAACAACGATTCGGTTCTCCTCTTTTCCTGTTCCTAATATTTTTCATAGCTCGAGAAAATTTGTTAGATAGCAAAACCAAGTCCTCATCCTCGAACTATTCGAGTTGATCATCGGACATGGCATTAAATAAAGCAATAACAGAAGACTTTGATGAAGAAGCACCAACATCCAAAGAAGATGAAGACGATACCAAAGCACTAGACTTAGAATCA